GCCGAAGGAAACACTAAAAGCAGAGCCTGGGTGGTCTAAAACTTACAGACAAGGCAGGGTTTCCCCTGCCTTTGCTGTAGTCCCGTGTGCCAATGTCCGACTCCCGGGGTGCCCCCGCTGGACCTCCGCTCCACAGTAGCCCCCTCCTGCGGGATAGACACAGCAGCAGTGTCCTGCCCTCACACCCGCAATCCCCACAACCCGAAAGGCTGTGTGAACACCACTACAAGTTGTAGATCAATACTCACAGTCAGAGGCAGAGTTTCCTCTGCCCCTGCGTGTAGTGGACCTCGTGGTGTTCTCTCCAAGGGATCGCGGGTTCTGCCGCTGTGCTCTCGGCTGGCTGCTTCTGGTCAGTCCTCCCCGTGTGCCGTCAGTCTCCGTCTGCGCGGTCCCGATCCCTCCTTTGCTGCGCTCCCCAGGTGATTATATTCACTGTGATTGCACCTGCAGGTGTCTTGGTCCATCCTCATCAGGGGTGGTGTGTGCGTTGTTGTGAGGGCAACCAATTAAACAGTCTAAAAGCATGCACTTGAAATCACAGCAAAATAAAACTCATAACACGCAATTGAAAACCAAAACAGTAAAAACACTCAGCATGTATAAATATAACAAAACGCCCCCACTTGTGTCCCATCACACCCCCCCGCACTTTGCCGTTGTCAGTCCCTGCAACGAGCGCAATCTAGTCCGTGTAGCGAGCAGGCAGCCGCCCTTGATTAGTCCAGTGCCTCCATTTGAGGCTCAGGTGGGGGTATGAACCCATAAAACACCGGCAGTTCTTGGCTTGAAGTTTGTAGGGGTGGCGCCTCAGGTTGTGGCTCACCACTACAGGTTGTGGCTCAGGGTCAGCAGGGGGCACGGTGCACACCTTCAGAGAGTTCCTGTGGACAGTCTGTTCTCTGCCGCCCTTCTCCGGACGCACCCGATAAACTACCCCAGTCTCTCCTACAATGTCCAGAATGACGTGGGGTTCAGGATCCCACCAGGAGCCCAATTTGCCCCGCTCCTGCCTCTTCCTATTCCTGAGCCACACCCGCTCCCCAGGGATCAAGGGCAAGGCATGAGCCTTCTTATCAAACTGGCGCTTTTGTTGGGAGGCTACCCCTGCCGCTTTCTTTCTTGCAAGGCTATAGGCAAAGGAGAGCTTGTTTCGGTGGTCCCCAACCCACCCCTGCACACTAAACTGTGTCTGCTGCAGATTTACGCCTAACCCCACATCAACAGGGAGTCTCAAGTGCCTACCAAACATGAGGAAAGATGGGGCATAGCCCGTAGCACTATGTGTGGTATTATTATAGGCATGAACCAGTGCAGGCAAGAATTCTGGCCAGCGGTTTTGTTTCTCTGACTCTAACGTTCGAAGCATATTGAGTAGAGTCTGGTTGAAGCGCTCTACACTGCCATTTCCTGCTGGGTGGTATGCTGTTGTACGGCTCTTTGTTATACCGTACATGTCGCAGAGCTGCTGCATTAATGTAGACTCAAAGTTAGGGCCGCGATCAGAGTGGAAACGCGCAGGGCAGCCAAACTGTTGAATTATGAACTTCCAGATCATCTTAAAGCAATAAATGTAATTGACGGAGTGCTAATCATTTAGGGAATCACGTCGTCATGTTTTATTTGCTAGCTTACCGCGGTCTGATGCCTCTTCATCGACAGAGCACTTTTTCTAGAAAAAAACTACCAACTTTGCACATTTGGCTGCTTCAGCTTCAAGAGCTTTCCAAATATATTCTAATCTTTTCTGCTCCGCCCTTGATTTTGTTCCTTTCCATTTTAAAAACACTCGTGTTGGACAGATGTCATGTCTGTGAGAAACGGCGCTTGCTTCAGGTCTATCTGTCATTCAACCTGATCTATGGCCCGCGCTCTCGGTTAGTCCCGCCTACAATCTACAGACAACCAATCAGGCCGTTGCAGAACACATCGTAACCAATGAAAGCGGCCAAATGAGACTAGCCAGTAGTGTGTGTGCTTTTACTCGTGTGTGTGTGTGTGTGTGTGTGTGTGTGTGTGTGTGGGTGAGAGAGAGAGAGAGGCAGTGCGCACGGGCGAGCGACAGGTCCGAGAAGGCTGCGGTGAACAGCAGTGTCAGGAAAGCATGGCCGCCGGCCAAGTCCAACCAGCAACATACAACATCCAGCCCACCGGCCCTTAGCCCAACCGGCCCACCGGGAAACCTCCCGGCTCTCCCGATTAGCCACGCCGGCACTGGTCTTGTTCACGAGTGAGGGAAGGATGGAGTGTGAGATTGATAGGCGGATGACAGTGATGCGGTCGCTGTATCGGACTGTCGTGGTGAAGAGGGAGCTGAGTCAAAAGGCAAAGCTCTCGGTTTACCGGTCAATCGTTGTTGACCGAAAGAACGAGATCGTGGATACAAGCAGTCGAAATGAGCTTCCTCCGCAGAGTGGCTGGACGCACCCTTAGAGATAGGGTGAGGAGTTAAGTCACACGGGAGGAGCTCGGAGTAGAGCCGCTGCTTCTCCACGTCGAGAGGAACCAGTTGAGGTGGCTCGGGCATCTGCTCCGGATGCCTCCTGGATGCCTCCCTGGGGAGGTATTCCGGGCACGTCTCACCGGGAGGAGACCCCGGGGAAGACCCAGGACACGCTGGAGGGACGATGTCTCTCAGCTGGCCTGGGAATGCCTTGGGGTCCCCCTGGACGAGCGTCTCTGCTTAGACTGCTGCCCCCGCGACCCGGCAACGGATGAAGCGGAAGAAAATGGATGGATGGATGGATAATGTGATATTCCATTACAGTACAGTACATGTTACATCAATATCCACAATATCCAAACATTTAAACTTGAAACTGGTTCATCTTAATTTGGTATAACATAGATTTTTATTAATTCAATTTATATATATAATATATATATATATATATATACAGTATATATATATTTTTTTTTTTAAACACTTGTTGTTTTTGTGCTTTACAATTTTTATTTTTATTGCTTTTTTCTGCCTGAGATGTTGCTGCAGTACAGTGTGCATAGTTTTGCGCTGGTCCATGGACCAGAGCAGAGAAGAATCATGGTCTGAACCACGCGGATGGAGGAATGCTGACTTTTAGAAAAATGCTAATGAAGCTTTTAGCTTTTACTTTGGACTAGAGCATAGACTGTATATATTAACGGACAGAGTCACGCCTATCTCCGCCGTTCTAACTAATGGGCCAAAAAATTTGCTCTGCTGGGGCTATCCAAAATGGCCGCGAGTGGTCCCGCCCACAAGAAAATTGTGAAAAAACGCATCTGCGCATGCGTCAGCCGGCGCAGCTCCATTCATTTGAACGAGAAACTTCAAAAATTCACAGCAAGTAAACTAGAGTGGACCAAAAAAATTCACCCTTCTCAGCATTGACACACATGTTGAACGGAGCTTTGGGCCAAGAGCCAACTTTTGGTCTATCCTGTAAAGACATTTTTGAGAGGTCTGCCAATGCTATATGTTAGCATTGGCTAATTCTTCTTCTGGGTCCACCCCCATCGGCCCGGGGTTGCAAGCATGTCAGCGCACGTCATTTTGGCCACTTTTGAGCTGGGACCCGCTCCCACTGGACTAGAGCATAGAAAGTGGTCCGAACCAAGCTTTTACTCTACCTTTTGACCTGTCCTGCTCCACCAAGAGGCTACTCCACCTCCGCTGCCGTGACCCCTCCTGCTCCACCCAGAGACTACTCCATCTCTGCTGCTGTGACCTGAAGGGCTGTTGCTGATTATTACTATTGTTATCTTTTTAGAATGATCAATTTTATTTTTTATTTTTGCAGCTACTAGACACCTGAATTTCTCCTACGTGGATCAATAAAGTATCTATCTATCGATCTATGAGGACCATATTTTTTATTTCTTTTTGTTTTTTTATCAATGTTTGCGGGTATTTAAAGACCTTATGACGGGTTTAAAAAAAAAAAAAGTGAATATCAAAATTGCATGACAATGTCAATTTGAAAGAGATTCCGGCAAAAAAAATCTTATATTTTATAAAAAGAACGTGTTTTTCATGAATTTAAGTTGTCTATGCTCTAACCTGTGTGTGACGTCATAGTGGATTACGCCCATGCATTGAAAACCATGGATCTATGCCACAGGACTGCCTTTTCTCTCTTCTCTCCACTAATGCCCAACACAATACTGCACTCTACAGGTGACAATTGCTCACTACACATAAATTGCCATTTTGAGTGTGAAAAAGTGTCCGAGGTGGGATTTGAACCCAAGTATCTGGCTTGGCAGTCCATCAACACAACCACTGGACTATCTCAGTGCCAATGAAAATTACATTCTAGTAGCTATGTCAGACTCGCTGTACGGCCTTGTCATCTTGAATATCCGCGAAAATAGAACGAATACCAAATTGTAAACAACTTACAGCGTTGAAACGTACCCGTTCTGACGTCACCAAGGGCTGTAAAGTTTATTCGTTTCTAAGGGCGTTGCTATGGGGTTATTTCGATTTGGGGGATCAGACAAAAAAAACAACAACTGATTTTGAAACCTTTAGTAGTTCTCTTCTAATATAAAATGGTATTAAAACTGTATTTCTAAATAAATCAAACCCGTCATAAGGTCTTTAAGCGAAGAATTTCACAAATGAGTGAACTTGAATTGTGATTTTATTTTGATTTGTGATGAATAAATAAATTTGATTTGTGAATAATTAACTTCTGGAAAATTAATGGAGAACTTTTAGAGAATGTTCATATACAATATAGTTAAGCAAAAACCAGTCTTGAAAAGTAGTGCCCAAGTCGCTGGAATGGAATGGACTATAAGAACTGTGATTGACAGACACATCTCCCAGACACCGTGGATAGCGCATGCGTGCTGCTGCACAGCGCTGCATGCATGTGTGTGCATATTCGAGTGAACGTTTGCGGTCACGTGGATCCTCCTCTGCTCTATGGTCTAACTGAGCTGTCGGAGCTGCTTGGTGCTAAAAACATTCATGTGGTTTGTGAGCTGCTTTTAAACTTGACGACAGAAGAATGAGTGACAATGATGACATCGAAGTGGACAGTGATGTGAGTCAGTTCTCACAGTTTTGATGCTATATTGTTGTCAACAAGCGCCTTAGCCGAGTTAGCTTCTTGGCTAGCCTTAGCACATAAGCTGACTACCTCTACATTTTCATTAATAGAAACGGCCCTATATTTTTGCCTCTGATCATTTTACCATAGCTGATCGCTTCTTTAAATATAATTATTTATTATTGGAGCCAAGATTAAAAAAGCAAGGTTTGCTTAAGAATTCCGACAACAATTGTACTTTTTGTTCTGTTTTTTTGCAGGAAGAATCACCGAGATATCACTCAGTGGTGCGTAATGCTACGGTTTGTCCCGTGTCTGATTGTACTGAGTCTGAAGTAACATTTAGGACAATCTGTATTTTTTCATATAATCTGTTTATTTTATGGGTACGTGTACATGAAAGGTAAAGAACACACATGCTTAAACCTTCTTTGTATTGGTGTAATGTTGACCTCAGCGTTATTATTATTATTATTATTGAACCGTGTGCAAGCGTTTGGGGGGATGTTTTTCTCCGCAGCTGTAGTGAAGACACCTCCTGTTGACCATAGGGAGCAGCTCACTCTTCTATATTTAGACTGGAGCTTCATCCGGCTGCAAAGCACTATTGTTCCATCCTTCATATGTTCCTTTCTGATGCAGTCTCCGTGTTTGAGTCTGGGGTTTACCGAGGCTTGGAGGCTGTGCGCGGATATAACTCTGTGGTCCTCGCGGTGGATGTAGGTCACGCCGCTGTTTTGAGTGCAAAGGGAAAAGTGATGCTGGTGCCAGTCCTGTCGAAGAGCAGGCTTCCTCCACAGGGATACGTCACTGAGAGCTAATGCATAGGCCGCACTAATGACGCAATGCCTACTGGTTTACATCGAGGCAGGTTGAAACTACCGTGCTCCGATGCAATGTACTCAAATTAGCATAGTTTGAAACACTAGAATGCGAAAAGGCAAACATTTTAATATTGCTTTCAGATATCGCTTTCAGATACTGCTGCTAATGTACAGATGCTAACATATAACTACACTTGCTTGCACTAGAACACCCAGTATAGTATGTAAGTTTGCCTCTCATTTTGTCAAACTTTTACACTTCTTTTATTATTTTCAAGATACATTTTATACTTTAATTGATGCTAGAGTTAGAGATTTTGTTTTATTTTTAATAGTATAGCTATTGTTCACTTGTGCAGTGTGCTCCTCTTTCCTACTGCAGTGTTTCCCACAGGATTAGAATCAAGAACAGCTGTACAAATTTCACACCCTGGTTGAAGCCTGAAAATATTATAAACAAATTAATAACAACTAATTACACTGGTCGGACTGTCCAGCTCTGTTTCAGACTGATACCTCCGGTTCAGACTGGTCCTCATCCTCAACACGTGCCTTTATTTTTATTTTAGCAGAAAATACTTTTCAATACTCATCTGGATTGAAGCAGCAAACATTCAGTGTACAAGTAAAAAACGACATCTACAATGCGTTTATTTGATTCAAAGCTGCTACATATAGTGTTTTGACCTGACAACCAATGTTCCCTCTAATTTTTCATGGGTCTGGGCAAAAACACAACCCCCTGAGCGGCACGTGGAACACTGAGTGAGAGATCTCTGAAAACACATTTGGATACACCTGCTGATCTCATTTATTTAAGATACTCCAGCTTCAACCAACTATGATTCGGTTCAATATTCACTTGATCATTATTCAAATGAGTCTTTTATAGATGGTGAATTAAAGTAGATTGCGGAATATATTTGGTGAACTAAAAACACAAAATATTCAAAGTGGATTTTGTCTATTCATATATATACTATACAATATACTAAATAGATTTACTGTGCCTTGCGAAAGTATTCGCCCCCCTTGAACCTTTCAACATTTCGCCACATTTCAGGCTTCAAACATAAAGATATAAAAATATTTTTTTTGTAAAGAATCAACAAGTGGGACACAATCGTGAAGTGGAACAAAATTTATTGGATAATTTAAACTTTTTTTAACAAATAAAAAAACCTGAAAAGTGGGGCGTGCAATATTATTTGGCCCCCTTGCGCTAAGTAGCGCCAGCTTTTACTGCAATTATAGCTGCAAGTCGCTTGGGGTATGTCTCTTATCAGTTTTGCACATTGAGAGACTGGAATTCTTTCCCATTCTTCCTTGAAAAACAGCTCGAGCTCAGTGAGGTTGGATGGAGAGCGTTTTCAGCTCTTTCCACAGATTCTCGATTGGATTCAGGTCTGGACTTTGACTTGGCCTTTCTAACACCTGGATACGTCTATTTGTGAACCATTCCATTGTAGATTTGGCTTTATGTTTTGGATCATTGTCCTGTTGGAAGATAAATCTCCGTCCCAGTCTCAGGTCTTTTGCAGACTCCAACAGGTTTTCTTCCAGAATGGTCCTGTATTTGGCTCCATCCATCTTCCCATCAATTTTAGCCATCTTCCCTGTCCCTGCTGAAGAAAAGCAGGCCCAAACCATGATGCTGCCACCACCATGTTTGACAGTGGGGATGGTGTGTTCAGGGTGATGAGCTGTGTTGCTTTTACGCCAAACATATCGTTTTGCATTGTGGCCAAAAAGTTAAATTTTGGTTTCATCTGACCAGAGCACCTTCTTCCACATCTTTGTGTCTCCCAGGTGGCTTGTGGCAAACTTTAAACGAGACTTTTTATGGATATCTTTGAGAAATGGCCTTCTTCTTGCCACTCTTCCATATAGGCCAGATTTGTGCAGTGCACTGATTGTTGTCCTATGGACAGACTCTCCCACCTCAGCTTTAGTTATCTGCAGTTCATCCAGAGTGATCATGGGCCTCTTGGCTGCATCTCTGATCAGTCTTCTCCTTGTTTGAGATGAAAGTTTGGAGGGACGGCCGGGTCTTGGTAGATTTGCAGTGGTCTGATACTCCTTCCATTTCAATATAATTGCTTGCACAGTGCTCCTTGAGATGTTTAAAGCTTGGGAAATCTTTTTGTATCCAAATCCGGCTTTAAACTTCTCCACAACAGTATCTCGGACCTGCCTGGTGTGTTCCTTTTGTCTTCATGGTTCTCTCTGCGCTTTAAACGGAACCCTGAGACTATCAAAGAGCAGGTGCATTTATACGGAGACTTGATTACACACAGGTGCATTCTATTTATCATCATCAGTCATTTAGGACAACATTGGATCATTCAAAGATCCTCACTAAACTTCTGGAGAAAGTTTGCTGCACTGAAAGTAAAGGGGCCGAATAATATTGTACGCCCCACTTTTCAGTTAAAGTTTAAATTATCCAATAAATTTTGTTCCACTTCACGATTGTGTCCCACTTGTTGTTGATTCATGACAAAAAATATTTTTTTTATATCTTTATGTTTGAAGCCTGAAATGTGGCAAGATGTTGAAAGGTTCAAGGGTGCCGAATACTTTCGCAAAGGCACTGTATACATAGTATACATGGTTTTATTTAGTCATATGGCATTATAAAATAAAACACATAGACCAATAATTCTCTATGATAATAATTGTCATATTGCCACAAAACCAACTTTACTCAGCAATAGGCAACTTTGTGCTAAACTGAAGGGGACGCTGGTCTGACAAGACCTGGTCTTCCCTACATAAGCGCCTGCGCGTTAGGTGTGTTTGTGGCTCCGCGCACACACTGCAGCTGGTGTAGTGCTCGTGAGACACCACTCGCAAGTCCGATTGCGTGAGTTCACGGTGTGCAGGGTGCAGTTGGTCTGAGCCGTGTTCTTTATCAAACGCAGCTTCAGACTTCTGTGTCGGGCGCTTTTGCGCACGCGCGCAGCTTAGAGGGAACATTGCTGACAATCAGATTCATTTTATAAGCCATGTGCAGTATAAAAACTACATTGGAATACATTTGCAAAAAAAAGGTACTCTGTGTGCACCGACAGAATAAAAAGCACGATACAATGTAATATAAAATACACATACACTGAATATAAAAGAATAAAAAAACAGCTGACACTGTGGCACCGATCAACAAAACGATACAAGGGGTAAAAGCAGGAATTAAAGTGCTCTGTTTAGGCACCTAACAGCCTGTGGAAAGAAGCTGTTAGCATAGCGAGATGACTTGCATCTCAGCGACCGATATCTTCTGCCAGAGGGAAGAAGCTGGAACATGGCTTTCCCAGGGTGGCCAGAAGAGTCATTGATGACTTTAAGAGCTTTGTTTAAAAGTCTGGATTTGTAAAGAACCTCCAGAACAGGAAGCTCACAGCCCACGGTCCTCTTTGCAGAGTGGAGCACCTTGTTTAAAGCTCTCTTTATCTGTGATGTTTCCAAACCACACAGACACAGAACCAACAAGTAAACTCTCAATAGTGCAGCGATAAAAGTTAAGCAGAATCTTAGAGTTAGTGGTAAATTCTCTAAGTTTCCGCAAAAAGAAGAGCCGCTGACGTACTTTCTTAACAACCCGGTTAGTATTTTTGTCTAACTAGGTCGTTAGACAGAGTTAAACCCAGGAACTTGCACTCCTCTACGATCTGCACCTGGGAGTTGTCAATAACTACAGGAGTGTGACCTGTAGTTACACTACTACATTTTACCCCAAACTTGCGACTCCAATTCATTTTCTAAGAAAGGCGAAATCAGGTGTTTGCTAGGGGTCTTCTCTGCACCAAATAGGCCACGCTTTGTGTGTGTGTGAGAGATGCGAAGAGCAGGAAAACTAATACGCTGCATGTTTTAAAGAGCGACTAAACACCTGTTCCCAGCCTTACTCCGCCCACATGAAGATTTGAAAATGTTCTCTTAAAAGGGCGTTGCCTGGAGGACCAAGGGACAAGAAGGGGGGCTTAGAGTTGGGCGTGGTCTGGGCTGTGATTGACAGCTCACTTGTCACACACAAAAAACAGAGTTGTCATTGCTGCTTAAAGCAATAGTTTACAGACCAGAAAGTCTCATTCCACCCTTGATAACACACTAAGATAATTGTAAAGCTACACACCTGAACCTAATCACACTCAATAATCTCAGAATCACTCATGTAATTTAATTTTAATCCACTAGATGGCGCCAGAATACTCAACTGCAGCTGGGGCGTGTGTGAGAGTTGAATGGGTTCACATCACTGGCTCTGACAGACTGACGTCACACAAAACAACTGATGTCATAGAGAACTTCAGAGTCAATGGAGAGGCCAGGACCAAATTAAAATGTAGTACCACCAAAAAGGTTGAGAGGGCGCCACACAGACGTTTTTTGGCTCAAAAGTGATATTTTATCTAATTTGAACTAAAATGTCAAAAAAATGACCAGGATATGTAGAGAGCACTACAATAAACATATTTATGGAGTTTGAGTTGAAAAAAGTTGATTTGGCGTTTAGTCGCTCTTTAAATAGCGTTAAATATTTAAATGATAGAAATAAAAAACATCAATCTGTGGCGATGCGCCACAGATTTGCCTATGTGTGGGAAACACTGTACTGTTAGGAACTAACTGTTCTTAAATTTCCCAACTGTGGGACAAATAAAGGATCTCTTAACCTAATCCCATAGGTAATTTAATTTATCGGTTTTTTTTATTCATTGAATTTAAAAAGAGGATGGCTAAACCAAACACCTTATGGTTTCCCTAATCCATTTGGCATAGCCCCCCTCCAAGGCACTCGCGCTGGCCCTCATTTATGAAACTTGCGCAGAAAAGGGTGTATATTTTGGGTGTATATTCCAAATACGCAAGAGCCAACGCGGTACGGCGTACGCTCAGATCCGCCCAGATCTGAGCGTACGCACAGTGGCTGTTTATGAATGCCGCGGCTGAAAACTGACGTATTTATGAAAGTCACGCTTAGAGATATGCAGCAGCTGCCTGTTTCACGCCCCGTTTTTACGACAATTGAGAGGAAACGGTGAAGAAAAAAACTTCACGGAGCAGGAGATTGAGACCATTATGAACAAAGTAAAAAAAAAAAAAAAAGTCTTACAATTTCGAAGCGACAATGGCTCAGTTGGTAGCGCATTGGCCTTTGAGCCTGAAGGTTGTGGGTACGAGCCCACCACAAGACCTACTTCACGACTCCCACTGATGACTGCTGTCGTTGTGTCCTTAGGCAAGACACTTAACCCCACTTTGCATTGTAAGATCTCAGCTCCTGTGGACTCACCACCTGCATGAGGATCACTGAGGGGCTGGTGCTATGTGTACTGGGTGCAGCCCTGATTATAACACACCTCCTCCCAGCCATACAGCCAAGCGTTTCCATGAGTTAGTACAACCACAGACCACACAGAATGTCCCTAAACCTTGTTTGCGTTTTGCTGCATCCATTTTAAATTCTAAGGTCGTGGAATGATACTCTTTACGGTCTGATCTGGAGTTGTGTAAGCTGTGCTAAGAGCTAACCGGAAGTTCAGTGCAGCACGGAAGGTCAATGGCCGTTCCCGTGGTTTCCCCCAAAAAAACTGTCTATTCAACTCATACAAATGCTATGTTGTAGAGTTGGTTGTTTTTGTGCTCTGTTGCTAGCAAAGGTGCTATACTTTGCTACTATACTAGTTGCTATACTAGCCAAAAGTTGGTTCTTGGCCCAACGTTCCAAATGTGTGTCAATACCGAGGAGTGTATTTTTTTTGGACCACTCTAGTTCAGTCACTCTGGAATTTTGAAGGTACTTGTCAAATGAATGGGGATTGTGCCGGCTGACTATGCGCAAATGCGTTTTTCACATTTGTGACTACGTCCATTAATACAGTCTAGAGCAAATCTGTGAAACGGTCAAGGCTGTTTCCAAATGTTTTCCTAATCTATACCATCGGCTCACTCGGTAGGGGGCGCTAGCGCTGTTATTTCAAATTTTTTCTCCATCCAGGTAGCGTAGACCAAGGAACAACCGATATACATTTTGAGCAAATCGGCCAAAAAAAGTTTCCAATTGAGAAAAAAAATTGAAAAAAAAAACGGGCAAAATGTACGGTGTCTCGGTGCATGTACCGTTTAACCATTCAAAATTCTGAAGCTCACTTTAGATCCTACATGTGTGTGTGGCGTGATTTTGAGGTTGTTGTTTCATACAATGTGAGGAAATCTTTGTTTTTCAAAATAAAGGATTTCCGGTTTGTCAGAAGGCATGTGCATAATTTAAAAAATATATATATTGTATCGCCTTGACAAATATGTGTACCAAATGTCATGGCAAACTAATTACAAAACTGGCAAGATCTTGTAGGCAGTGCTATAGCAACGGACCTTTGTTCCAAATTTAGCAACTTTTCCTGCATTTTATTTTACCAAGAATTGCGATTTGGTGAGTGACGGGCCCTGACGCGTCTGTCACTCACTGCTACCTCTTTCGTTCACCATTATTTAATTTTATTAAACTTACATTAAAAGGAATCTGAGAATATATGTGTGTAGAGCCTGATATCAAGATCAACCTTAATGTCTCAAGTTTTATGTGAATATGAAAAATAAACTAACTTCCATCCATCTATTTCCTTCCCCTAAATCCATTTCTGGGTCGGGGGTGACAGTCAGCGCTGCACCCAGTACACATAGCACCAGCTATGTGTACTGGGTGCACCACTGATCTGCAGGTGGTGAGTCCACAGGAGCCTAGATCTTCCAGCGGGGGGTTCAGGCAAAGTGTGGATAAGTGTCTTGCCCAAGGACACAACGGCAGCAGTCATCAGTGGGAGTCGTGAAGTAGGTCTCGCGGTGGATTGGAACCTACGACCTGCAGGCCCAAAGGCCGATGCTCTACCAACTGAGCTACTGTCACCCCATGTTACAGTTAAACTTTTAATATTTAACTTTAAACCCCCTCTTCTCTGGTCTTCAGACGTGTTGACCACTTCCTGAGGCTGTCTCTGTATGTGTTAGGATCGGGTTTAATCCTTCTGCTCTCTTGCCTTAAGGTTTAAATCCAGTCTTCTCAGGTCTTCAGGCGTGTTGACCACCTTCCTGAGGTTGTCTTTCTGTGTGTGTTTTAGGCGGACAAGCGGGCGCACCACAATGCTCTGGAGCGTAAGCGTAGGGACCATATCAAGGACAGCTTCCACAGCCTGCGCGACTCTGTGCCCGCTCTCCAGGGGGAGAAGGTGGGTACTAAGGTGGGCCTCATCGCCGCTGCATCACATTCACAATCTACATACATTTGAACATTCGAACACTCACCAAAAACAAACATGAACAGCTCTAGTAGAGGAGGTCCACGCCCCCAGAATGCAGTTTTGGTCACATCTCAGATGATATCATGAAACCCCTTTTTTCTCTCTCATTGTTGGTGGTTGTGTAATTATGACATAATTAATCCAATTTGTGATGCTTTTACCATAAACGGGAATTTACACAGTAGGCGTTCCTATGCTGCGCGTACACTTAAACCTTTTGGCGCCAGAGGTTTTTTCTAAATAATTTTGACATCTTAATTTCATAAGGCTACATCTTAAATGTTATAAGAGATAAAGGCTTTCTGTAAAATAGAAAAATATTAAGATGGCCCAAAGTTTATGTAGGGAATAAATCCATCCATCTATTTAGCATATTATGACGTCATATGGCGTTTGGAGATTGTGGAATTTCCATACACTATCTTTATTTTTCAAACCGACAGACATATATTGATCACTAGGACATGGACACACACAGAACACACACTGCAACATTGTAAATGTTCAGGGAAATAGTGAAAAATACATAACATGATGCTAATGTGAGCAGTCTGCCCAGACGTTCGCCTCCAGGTGAAGCGCGTCACCGCTACTCTCTTGCTGCTGTCTCCTCTGCTCTCTCTCGTCTCCCCTGCTCTCCCTCTCATACACACACAAGAGGCTTCTCCAACACGTTACTGTCCCCGGGATGACTGGGAGACACGGAAATACATCTGTGAGGCACTATTAGCCGAGACTTTAGCGGAGGCTGGAGTTGCGGCCCCGGCGTGACTTACAGGCTTTTTCTCCGCAAATCTAACCTGTCTTCGAACCTCCCAATGACTGCGCTGACCCTGAGAAACACTGTTTGCACTGCTGTCTCTGTGCAAAGTATGTAAAGTTAGTGTTTGGTGCGCTACAACACTGGCACACTGCCTCGCAGCTGCACTCGCTTCGCTATGGTTTCCGCTCTGGTTCAACGCGTATTCCTCAAATATTTTTTGGGCCAATGTCTGCCAACTAGTGGCAGGAAGTATGAATGAATTTTGACACTCAGTTGGACACACTCGGTCGTTTTAAACAGTACCGCAGCTACTGTTGAGCAGTGAGCAGTCTGGGCAGACTGCTCACATTAGCATCATGATATGTATTTTTCACTATTTCCCTGAACATTTACAATTTTGCAGTGTGTGTTTTGTGTGTGTTCATGTCCTAGTGATCAATATATCTGTAAGTTAGAAAAATAAAGATCCATCCATCCATTTTCTTCCCCTTAATCCATTTCTGGGTCGGGGGCTGGCAGTCAGAGCTGCACCCAGTACACACAGCACCAGTCCCTCACTGATCCTCCTGCAGGTGGTAGGTCCACAGGAGCTGAGATCTTTCAGGGGGGCTTCAGGCAAAGTGGGGTTGAGTGTCTTGCCCAAGGACACAACGACAGCAGACATCAGTGAGAGTCAAAAAATAAAATAAAGATATTGTATGGAAAATCTAAAGTCCACATTTTCCAATACCATATGATATCACAATATGCAAATTAGATGGGTGGATTTATTCCCTACATAAACTTTGGGCCATACTTAAAGATTTTCTGTATATTAGAAAAATATTATCTCTTATCACTTTTAAGTTATAGCCTTATGAAATTAAGAAGTCAAATGTTTTAGAAAAAAACCTCTGGCGCTTAAAGGGTTAAGTGTACGCACAGCATAGGAACTAGGGTTTAATATTTTTTCCGAAAAATGAGATGTATCAAATCCCGGGCATTTTAAATTATCTTAAAATGTGTTATCTGTATGTTAGCCAAAACTGTTGCTGCCCATTGCAGATTAAAAAAAAGAAAGGAGCTTTCTGATAGAATTGGATGTAGCCGAATTCTGGGCTCACATTGGTAATATTACAAGCCCTGTTTTAGCGCGATTAAGACTCATATTTGTTGTCAATAACACAATTAATGAGCCATCCTCTCAGCTGTAGACATCCATCCATCCATTTTCTTCCCCTTAATCCATTTCTTGGTCGGGGGGGCGGCAGTCAGAGCTGCACCCAGTACACATAGCACCAGCCCCTCACTGATCCTCCTGCAGGTGGTGAGTCCACAGTAGCTGAGATCTTTTCAGTTGGGGCTTTTGGGCAAAGTAGGGCGAAGTGTCTTGCCCAAGGACACAACGACAGCAGTCATCAGTGGGAGTCATGAAGTAGGTCTTACGGTGGGCTCGAACCCACGACCTTCAGGCCCAAAGGCCAATGCTCTACCAACTGAGCTACTGTCGCCCTATAGCTGTAGACATGTTGATTGTAAATGAAATATGTTTGAACTTTGAACAACAATAGACGCGCACTATAATATGAGCGCACTGGAATTTTTTTAAACTTTCATTTTCCGTCATAACATTTCCCGGGAATCGGGAAATAGTTTTGATCAGATTTCCCAGGAATCCCGTGTCCCGGGATTAAACCTTAATAGGAACGCCTACTGTGTAAATTCCCATTAATGGTAAAAGCATCACAAATTGGATTCATTATGTCATAATTACACAACCACTAACAATGAGAGAGAAAAAAGGTTTTTATGTTATCGGAGATATGGTGACCATGGCGCCTAGAGGGTTAAGTGCTGTAATGCCTCCTGTGTAAATTACCAGAACCTCACCAGAGAAGTACAATTTAAAATAAGTTTATTTGACAATAAATTGTCAAATAAACATTGCACAAACACTGACACCGAGTGAAAAAAGTTTGAATCTCTGAAATATGGACTCATATTGAGGGCGTAAACCTTTTAAACTGATTGTTTAATGAAAGACTTCAAAGATCCAGTGTGTCCCTAAATGTGGGGGGCTGGGAGTCAGTTTTTTTGCCATGGCAACTCTAAAGCAATAAACACATGGTAGATGTATGACTGCTTTGTATTAACAACTCTGTAATCCTCAGTTCAGTGTCAGTTCCAAATGTGGTCTGTGTCTCCTGTAAAGATACAGGCAAGCCAGTGTAACTGGTATGGTCCATTCTATCCCCACATTCAGGTAAATGTGTCAACCGTAAACGCAATACAAGCCACACACTCGGTAAGTGAAGGACTTCAGGTTTCTAATTCCAGCTAAAAGGCCTGTACAATGCTGCAATATTGTCCACATACTATAGGATTGTAAAAGAAAATCAAATTGAGTAAACTGGGCGTTGTGTTGGTCAGAATAGTCCCCTGGCAGCCACATTGGTGAGTTCCTCTTAAAAACCACTTTGTTGGTAATATAGTATTGGTGCAATGTCCCCATAATGCCAAAACTGTCAAAATAATAAATACATGTCAAAAAGGATTTTTTTTTTTCAATTGAAAGATTAATCCAATGAAACGTGCAAAAGCCACTAAGTGAAAATTATAACAATAGACTGTAACTAAGAGAGAGCAGTCTCCGCGAGGAGATTGCTTTTGTCTGCATTGCTTGGCAAGACACAAAAGAATAATACGTCGTAAAATAATAAAACAGAAAATCATTAAAAAAGGAAATCAATTAAGACATGAAGAAAATAAATGCATGCAGAAAGAAAATAAAGAGGATTTATTTGGCAAAAAACTCCAGTTAAATAATAGTGTATATATATTTTTGAATCTTAACCTTTGAATGAACAAATAAAGAAATGCAGACAGAAAATTAAGCGTTTTTTGATTTGAACTTGATGAGATATTAAATCTCATTTGTAGCTTTATATTAATAATAATTTGCAGATTGTAACATTTTTTTATTATCTTGACAGTTTTGATCCTCCATAGTGCATTACGGCTGTGTTTTACTGATATTCCAATATTAACTTTTTCCCACAGATTGCCCTGACTCTATGGTGCATGTTTTCTGTTGTGTATATACCCTGTACCCAGCTTTACCATCATGTCCTAGACCACTTGTAAAGTCCTCTTTGTGTCCCGCAGGCTTCTCGAGCTCAGATCTTAGACAAAGCCACAGAGTACATCCAGTACATGAGGCGGAAAAACCACACACACCAACAGGACATCGATGACCTCAAACGGCAAAACTCCCTGCTGGAGCAACAAGGTACTGTCCATAGTTACTTGGAGACCGTGGAGGGAGACCGGGGAGGGAGGAAAATATCTCTTGTGTAATGAGTCTGTGTATGTATCATAATGTTATGTCAAGCGCAAAAAATATTTAGAAAATAACTAACATCATTAGCTTAGTCACTTAAGGCTATATCTTTATATTGGTTTGTTGAATTACAGACATTTGAGAACAGTCTTTGTTTCATGTGGAGTGGCTCAGGAATCAGAGAAGATGGCTTTGAACTAAGACTAGTAGTTCAACTTCTTCAACCTTTTCACCATAACGTGAACCTATATAAGGCGCTATATAAAGATTGCATTAGGCCCGTTTCCACCGGCTGTGCTCAGTCCAGTCCAGTTAATTCAGTCCATGTTTTATGTCCGACTGTCCTTCATGTGTTGCCAGTGCGTGCTCTGGAGAAGGTGAAGGGCTCCACTCAGCTCCAGTCCAACTACTCCTCGTCGGACAGCAGCCTGTACACCAACCCGAAGGGAAGTGCTGTGTCTGCGTTCGACGGAGGCTCTGATTCTAGCTCAGAGTCTGAACATGAGGAGCTGCCGACCCGTAAGAAGCTCCGCGAGAGCTAAGTGCGAAAGCGAGGCCACAAAGCAGTCATAATCTCTCCTCTGTTCAAACTGGAGAGCACACAATTGGAAGGAGAAGTCCACCAAGCTTCAGGTTACTCCCACAACCCCGTTTTGTTTCTGAGTGATAACGATTCAAACACAAACTGGCAGCTTGACTCCACGCTGTTTTGTACCGTTTTAGCTTCTTCCTCCCGGGCTGTCTTGAGGGGAGACAGATGGGAACTCCTCCAAGCACTGTTATATTATTGTTTTATTTTTGTTATTTCGGATTAAATATTTGTAGATTGTACACACATTCATGCCTAGATTGAGCGCCCTGAGGTTTACCTTTTTTTTTTAAATAGAAACATATTTCTAGTTTGCTTTTTTTCCTCTAAAAGAATGTGAAACAAATGTAAGTGATGACCCCACCCACTGGTTTATTGAACACAGAAATCTGGTTTGTTACAATTTGATGTTTTAAGAAAGCCTATTCCTTGATGTGTATTATATTTGGTCCATTAGCTTGAAGTAGTGATTGACTTGAAAAATTAGATATGTTCTTTTTAAGCATTGATGGGGTGTTTTCAAGTTCAAACGTATGTTATGCATTTTTCACTTGTAGTTTTCCTTGTGGTATATAATATATTGAATGTGGGTCTGTTCCTGCTGTGTGTATGGAAGACCTCTGTGTTGTGCTTTACACCATGAAACCCAGAGGAAAAAGAAGCGTTCCGAGAGTGTAGGAAACGTGTCTGCATATTGTTTCCATTTGATTTCCATTTAAGATACATTAGTGTAAAAGTTTTTTGTCCATTCCATGGAAATTACAAGTATGTTGTACATACTGCCAGCATTTGTCTTGCAAGTTGAGGCCTACCTTTACTATGAGACTATAAAATAAACTATTTTATCCTGTAAATTGTGTGTTACTGTTACTATAAGACCATGTTTAACATAAGAATGAAGTGTCTATAAATCAGATACTAAAACTACGGAAGCGTGTTGGGTTCACTTGCGTGTTATTTTTTTGCTGGTATCACGTTATTTCAAGATAATTTCATGTTTGTACAAGATACGGATCATGCTATTTCATGATACCTTAAGTAATCATTGTGAATTTATAAACTGCTATCACCAAAATTACATCAAGTATTGTGGGGCTAGCTAGTTAGGCTTTTGATAGTAATTGGCAGTTCAGAAATTCACAATGTGCTTCCTGCATCCACAACAAAGATGCCTCTGACACCCCTCGTTGTTGCAGAAATGTGTAAAGCCAACCCTCTGCCTCTCTTGGTGCACCGCTGAGTCTAGATCATGGTCTGGCTTATCTTGCTTCTACAGCATTGTAATTTCATAATATATTTGTATGAAATTACGTGATCCGTATCTTGTACAAACATGGAATCCCAGTGAAAAAATAACACGCGTGAAGTGAACAAGTGAACCCAACACGCTTTTGTATAAAACAAACAAATGTGAGATAAAAATGAATAACTTAGCATTGATGAAATAAAATTTCTTGGTGTGATTTTGGACAATAAATTCTGCAGGAAACCCTGTATAAAACACATCCGGTCCAAGCTTGTGCTATTGGGCCTCATGTATGAAACTTGCGTACGGCCAAATCGGGGTGTAAATGAGGCGTATGCAACATATTTACACTTTTCCGCATTTATCAATCTGGACGTGAGCGTACGGTATGCACAGAATTTACACCAAGTAAATGGGTGGTGTAAATGTGTACGCTCATTTCAACCTTCGTCACAACACCCCAAAACACGCATGAAATTGAAGATTTGGACAACAATGAACATGTTCCCACTCTGGAAAAATTGTAAGCTGCGTTTTCATGGAGCATCATGTTTCGGAATTTGAATTTGCGCATCAGAAATAGACCAACTCTGGAAACACGCAAACTTTGAATAAATCACAGATTATGATGAGGAGCCTCTTCTGTTTCTATGATTTTAAATCTGACTTCTATGTGTATTAAATTGATCTGTATGTCTTTAAAGGACAACTCACCCTCAAATCCACTTTTTTTTGCTGATAAACGGTATAAATGAGTGTCCAATAGTGTTGTCTACATATCCTGGTCATAATCTTGTCACTTTGGTGCAAATTAGTTGAAAGTTAGACTTTCTGCCTAAAACCGTCTGTGAGGCGCCATCTGCTGGCGACCTGTATTACTACATTTGAATTTTGAATCTGGCGCCAACACTGGCACAGAGGTTGGACCTGACGTCTGCAAGTTGGACCTGACGTCAGCAGCCCCCCGCCCAGAGCAATGTAAACGGCCCAGTCTCGTTCACGCCCCCTTCAGTCCTCCAGGCTACGCCCATTTAGAGGAAGATTTGAACAGGAAATGTGAGTAACGTAAGCTCCGAGGAGCGGGGGTGAGAACCACTTTAAAGAGCGACTAAACACCTGTGCCCAGCCTTACTCCGCCCACATGAAGATTTGAAAATGTTCTCTTAAAAGGGCGTTGCCTGGAAGACCAAGGGACAAGAAGGGGGGCTTAGAGTTGGGCGTGGTCTGGGCTGTGATTGACAGCTCACTTGTCACACACAAAAAAACAGACAGTTGTCATTGCTGGTTAAAGCAATAGTTTACAGACCAGAAAGTCTCATTCCACCCTTGATAACACACTAAGATAATTGTAAAGCTACACACCTGAACCTAATCACACTCAATAATCTCAGAATCACTCATGTAATTTAATTTTAATCCACTAGATGGCGCCAGAATACTCAACTGCAGCTGGGGCGTGTGTGAGAGTTGAATGGGTTCACATCACTGGCTCTGACAGACTGACGTCACACAAAACAACTGATGTCATAGAGAACTTCAGAGTCAATGGAGAGACCAGGACCAAATTAAAATGTAGTACCACCAAAAAGGTTGAGAGGGCGCCACACAGACGTTTTTTTGGCTCAAAAGTGATATTTTATCTAATTTGAACTAAAATGTCAAAAAAAATGACCAGGATATGTAGAGAGCACTACAATAAACATATTTATGGAGTTTATGAGTTGAAAAAAGTTGATTTGGCGTTTAGTCGCTCTTTAAAATGTGAGTCTGGACTGTGAAAGGCTCTATACAAATACACTCAGGGATGTGTGACCCAACTATTGCTGTGGCAGGCTCTGCGCTGCGTAATTACTATTTCTATTCCTCATTCACATCTGGTAAAGCAACAAGGGCGTAGGTTTGCGTGGGGACCATGGGGACATGTCCCCACCAATATTTGGTGAGGACTAAAAAGTCCCCACCAAAATGACATGATGTCCCGTGACCCGGACGGTCCGGGACACATGTCTTCCGTTTGTGCATACGTCGCGCCTCCTCCTCGCCTCCAGAGCAACAGCAGCAGCAACAGCAGCAGCAGCAGCAGCACGTGACCCGTTCCGTTCTCTGCAGTGATTGGCTGTCTTCTTCAGCGCCAAACTGTAGCACTGAGCGACTGTTTAATTTTTAAAAGTTAGCCAGCGTGAAGCAAGTGTTTTTTTTCTTTCCCTGAGCGTTGTAGCACGTGAGTAATCAGAGGAAAGTACTGTAGATCTATTACCATTCAAAGTACTTACGTTATTTCTAATCTGTCAGCGCACTGTTTAATGTTCCGAGGAGCTCACACGGCACAGAGACAGAACAGAACTGGCTCCAATAAAGAAACAGGTTGGTTGAAAGGCTGAGAAAATACTTATTGTGCTCTTACTATCCAAAATGTATAAGTGGGTGTGTTGTGTGAATCAGGATAAACTAGGGATGAAAATATTCCACGGATCCACGATTTACAACCTTTATCTGCTGATAATGTAATTTCTGTGAAATGTGTGACAGCGGGTACTTGCTGTTATTTGCTCTAAGCACATTCAAGCGATGAACTCGAATGTGCACGTCCTGGTGCAGCTGCTGCCGCTTTGTAATGACAGCCGCGGCGCTCAGTGAAAGCACAGCTCTAACATGGTACCGAGCTCGGACCATATGCAGACAGAACCATGTTGCAAGTGCGGGTCTCCCTCGTATCTCCCCCGTTTCTCCCCTGTGTCTCTGACATGTCTCTCCCCTGACTCTTCCCAAAGCGCAACCAGCGCTCCCGAAATTAAAGCTCGGATACCTAAATTTTCCATTGCGTTAACGATGCATGCTGGTTGTGTGCAAAACACACCACAACAGGTCATTTAAGTTTTTATTTTGCATACTTGAGAGCCCTGTGAGTCATTACTTGCCTTTTTGGGTTGAGAGTGGAATAAAAAAAAAAGAAAATATAGAAAAATCCACACTGTTACTTATTGCCAAACTCTTGTTAACTCATTGTATTGAGAAATACTATGTAACTTTTGACATTGGCCAAGTTATATAAATGATTCTGCAGTTCATGTATATGAATGTCTGTTTTTGATTGTCTATACCTTCTTATATAATTTAGAAAAAATGCCACCTCCACAAAAAAAGATAAAGAGCTTTTTTAACAGTTGGAAAGTAAGTAAGAGAAAGCACAAGTAATAGCCAATTATGAATTGTGATGATTAATCTTCTGTTAACATACATAGGAAACTCAACCAACAAGAGAGAACAATATAGGGAATGTTGAGGTAGAAGCAACAGGCCCTTCAGTGCATCCGGTGAGGTTGGAATTTTGTAGGTATGCATGGGACTATGAATTGTTTTTAGAGATTGATCGTATATGTCAAACAATGTAGTGAGCTACTCACTGTAGATTCTAATTCAATATTTTCTCCTCTGTTTTTATTTATTATAGGAAATTGAAAGATCAGAGCATGATTTATTTCAAGTATCGAGAGCAGTTCCTGAACTGTTAGAGCCTCAGGTGAGGGCTATTATGTAGATTTGGATTAGGTTTAAGTCAGTATAGAATGAACGCAACACAAAACTCAGAAGCTCTGATCCAATTGATTTTGTTTTAACTATTAGAAAAAATCCTTAACTGCTTCTCATTCAGTCTACAGCTGAGTTTAGTATAGAAGGCAACACACTATTGCAAATATAGTGTGTGATTACACAACAAATTCTGGGTGAGAAACTCTGGACCCCGTGTCAATGGGTGTAGACTCAGGTCGTAGTGAATGTCCCCACCAAGATTGGAACCAAACCTACACCATTGTAAAGCAATGTATGTTTTCATTAGATATGTGTAAGCCTCACACAGACACACACCCCATGAACACATGGACCGATGGACTATGGTATTGCTCACTCCAAATGTCTCACTGCCCTGTCCACCCGCTGCGCACTCTTGGGAGTGCATCCACAGCAGGTGCCATGAGAGGTCGCGCCACATAACTCCTCAAATGCTGTCATTCAGAAGTTTTGGCTCCAGAGTTTCTCTGTAAAATCTGGACCGCAAACGCTCTAGCAAGTGTACAGCGCTTCAGTGCATTCACAAGACGTTTCATTGATGAGAGCCACCGCTGCACAATATGAATTCATTCATTCTTTATTTATTCACTTCTACAATCCAAGAGAGAATTTTATAATTTATCAAAACATTTCTCAGCTGAATAAATAGAGTAGCGTATATAGCGTATATTTATTTTTACACATGCATGTACAACCTGTGGCAGACCCTGCGCCGTACACGTAATTACGCATATGTTTTGCCTCATTCACCTCTGGCAAAGCAATGTGGGTTTTCCTTAGTTTTGTGCATAAAGCCCCATAAATGCACCTGAGCTTGCTCAAAAATGTCTCAGGGAGGTTTTAGGGACTGCCTTTACTCCGCAGAGCAGAGATAGGATGCGACGCGCACCAGCAGTATAGTTCATTCATTCATTCAGGTCATTTATTTATTTATGTTGACATTTCAGGAGAGATGGGTGCTGCAGTGGGTCTAGACACTATGAAAAAAGTGTATATATAATATAGTGTATATTTATTTTTTTTAAACAAAAGTGCGTGCTTTTTGCGGCTTCTTAGCCGACTTCCTGCTGGCCTGTCGCAAAAACAGGGCGTGGAACAGGCAGTTTCTGAATATTTCTAGGCGTGACTTTCATAAATACGCTGGTTTTTAGCGCGGCAGCCGCAGGTGCAGACGCTCAGATCTGTGCGTATCTCACACGTTCATAAATGCCACGTCAGATCTTGCGTGTCTGAGATCTACACCCAAAATTTACACCTTTTTCTGCGCAATTTTCATACATGAGGCCCATTGTGAGCAAAACTAGGAATGTATTAAGCGAAAGGCTTTACAGATATACATCTCATTATTCTTGACATATTTGAATTACTGTGTGGGGTAACACCTACAAAACAAATATCCATCCTGTAACAGTCCTGCAGAAAAAGCGGTAAGAATAGTTAATAGAACCAACATCACACTAATGCTCTGTTCCTACACATGGGAACGCTCAGGTTCATTGATCTAGAAATCGGTTACTTCCTGGTCACATTCAAGCGTAGTTCTCCAGAGGGAAGGGAATTATAATCTAAGAGGAAAGGTAAGTTAAAATAAAATATTCTAGAACTATGACAAGTTTTAATGTTTCTATTGGCAGCTTTAAATTATGGAACAGTGTCAGAGGAATTAAAACAAAGCAGCACCATTCTGCACTTAAAATGTATATAAAAAACAACTAATTGAGGAATACTGTAAAGATGAGGTTCAATATTTACCCATGACACCCAAGTACATGAATAGTATAATGGTGTATATATACATGCACATATTTTTATTTACTCATTATTTCAGAAGAGAAATACTTTAACTGTTTATATACTTGTAAATTTTTTGCACCATCTCCCTTGTTTCCACATAAATAATGTATTTTGTAAATGAGGGGTAGGACCACATAAGCTTTTGCTTTTTACTACCTTTTGAACATGTAAATGGAATAGAAAGGCAGCTGATTGAGATCGGAACTGACACCATGCAGCGTAACCCATTAATGTTTGTTAAAAATATTAATATTTTTGGTTTTAGGGACTGCATGTCCACACACATTCACCTTGAACTATTTCACATAACTATAGTGGTAGAGTACACTGGATGAAACCTTCAGTCAGTGGACCTTCTGCTGTGACGCATAAGTGCTTACCATTGCGCCGAACATTGGCATAAAGTTAATTTCGTGATGTGAATTAGATTTGGACACTTTGGACAGGCCTGATCATTGTCTAATCTTTGAGTTTGTATCATACACATCTTTACAAAAAATCTCAATCAAAAGTAATAAAGCATTTTATTGATTTTAGGTTCATTTATCAAACTTTCACTTTTTTTACGAGCAGAAGCGGAGAAGCCCGCGCTCACAGCTCCAGCCGCTATTATTCCTCTGTCACATGCTGTAGGCACTAGGTCTCCAGTTTCTTTGCCTGAGGAGACTTCTCCAGTGGCACAGGCAACTGCAGGAAATGATGAAGAGCTTGGGCTACTTTGTCTGGACCCATGTTGTAGACTGGATGGGTGAGAGCCTGCAAAAAGAGAGGAGGGGTGTGAGCCTGCATAGAAAATGTTGAGTTCACTGTTGGACTTGTGTCGCTTACCCACCACCCCAAGAATACTGTGGCCAAAATGGGGCATGGGGTGGAAATATGGTGTGGAGCTGCTTTTCAGCAGAGGAGATGACTGGTCCATCTTAAGGAATCAGTCAATGTGGCCATGTATTGCGAGATTTTGGGAACAGTATTGAAAATGAAACATGGCTGTGTCTGTCAGCATCACATTGATCCCACTGCCCAGGCAACATAGAGGTGAGTCTGTAACAAGTAGACCCAGGTCTACCTTTTGGGTATTTTGGTCTGGACTAAAATACCTTCTACAGTGTGTGCAAGAGGAGACCTCTAATAGCACTTCTGTACATGTATAGTGGTCCCTTGTTTATTGTAGGGGTTACGTTCTAAAAATAACCCACGCTAAGTAGCAACTATGGCCGTAAAATCCCCCATCACACACTTTATACACTCCTAACCTGAACTCAGGACTGCTGCGATCGCGGAGATATAGCTTGACATTGTAGATATGAGCTATGGCGTGCATACAAAATACAGCTGCAGAGAACACTGCGCTGAGGAGCAGGACTGAGGGCTACAGGAAGACAGCCGTAGTCCTCTGAACTAATCCTTGCCGTGCACACAAGGCACAAAAATAAGCATGCACAAAAAAAATTGCAAAACAACAAAAGATGAGGGACAACTGTATAGGTTTATTTATTAAAAAACCCACAAAGGCTAGCAAATGCACATGGTCCAGCTTATGGGAAACCATATAACTGGATTACCTCACTTTATTTTTGTATTCATTAGGAAAATTCAATCCATATCAACGCAGTGCATTGGGATATGCGTCCTTTTGAAGAATAAGTAGAGAAAATCTACAGGTCTCGTTAGCGCGAACAGACGAGCTTCATGGATGCAAACCTGAAAAGTCTCGTGCCATCGTTTCCGGTTTCTGCTTTTACAGCGGGGCTGACGAGACTACTTTAGCACTGGGGCATGCAATTAAATGAGGAACAAACAATACATTTCCATTTGTTTTTGGGCCAAAACAATAGACGTATCCACATATTATTATAGATCCACGATCAAGCTCAATAAACAACAGCATACAAGCACGCGCGTGAGTGGGACGGGGGTTGTGGGGGACGACAGCTTCGTGAGTGCGGAGAGGGGAGCAGAAAGAGCAAGGGAAGTGCTTGCATTTGAAACTGCTGCTTCAAAGTTAGTGAGTAAGTTCAGCTTTAAGCTGCGTTCAGACTGCCGATGCATGAATGCGCGTTCACTGAATCTTAGCCGCATGAATTCTGCTGTACTTGACACAAATTGAAACTCGAAGCAACACATGGTCCGATCTGAACGCCCTTTAGACGGTTTTAGGCTCAAAAGTCTTAAAATATTCAAAAATTTACCAGGACATGTAGAGCGCACTATAAGAAACATTATGCAGTTTATGAGTTAAAAAAAGTTGATTTGGTGTTTAGTTGTCCTTTAAGGGTTAGGAAACTAAACTGAGAGCTGTGTAATTAGATGTTCAGCGTAGGGATGTAAAAAACTATGAATTTTCATGACCGACCACCGGGCCTCATTAACCGGTTTACCGCGTAGTTTAAAATAGTACACGTTCTTTGAAATAACAGCCATTTCGAGCCGCGTACTTTCCATAAGTGCAGCTCTGCGTTCTACTGGATCAGAGCAGCGAGTGACATGCCGCGTCTCACAGGTCTCCGCTAAAGTTTAAAAGTGATGTGTGTGGAGCTGATGCCAAGGACCATCAGCACAAACATGTTTCATCTGGTTTGACTGGAGCCGTGTATTTGCGAGGATTCCTTTGGGCTGCGTGACACAGAGGAGCTCGACAGACCGGTATGTGTGTGTGTACAATACATGTATGTGTGTATGTGTGTATGTGTGTGTGTGTATGTGTGTGTGTGTAAATATAAGCTCCAATGTAGTTCTGACCTGCACCAGTGTGCAACTAGCAGGCGGTAACAGAGGGGAGATAGATAGATAGATAGATAATTTATTGATCCCCCGAAGGAGAAATTCAGGTGTCCAGTAGTAGCAAAAATAAAAAAGAAAATTGATCATTCTAAAAAAAAGATAACAATAGTAATAATCAGCCACAGCCCTTCAGGTCACAGCAGCAGAGATGGAGTAGCCTCTGGGTGGAGCAGATAAGAGATAAGATGTGCTTTATTTATCTCACATAGGAAAAATGTACATGTCACATTTAGCATGGATAGAGACACTCAGATTGTGCAAAAGGAGGAAATGTGCAATTATGTTACATGCAGGATATATATGTACAATAAAAGTGACAATAATTATGTACAACAAAAGTGACAAGTGTCCATTGGAAACAGTGTCAATAGTAGTGCAGGTTTTCACACAGTGATCATTTAAAGTGACTTATTGTACAGTCTGACAGCAGTGGGGATAAAGGCCCTGCGGTAGCGCTCCTTCCTACACTGAGGGTGTCTCAGTCTTCCACTGAAGGAGCTCCTCAGCTCCTCTACAGTCCTGTGCAGTGGGTGGGAGGTATTGTTCAGCTCTGTGCTGCCCGGGGCCCAGCACACGGCAGCGTTGTAAATGGCAGAAGCTACCACAGAGTCATAAAAAGTCCTGAGCAGAGGCCTGCTCACTCCGAAGGACCTCAGCCTCCTCAGAAGGAAGAGGCGACTTTGGCCCTTCTTGTGCAGGGCGTTTGTATTATGGGACCAGTCCAGTTTATTGTTAATGTGAACACCCAGGTACTTGAAGCTGTCCACCAGCTCAATGTCCTCCCCCTGGATGTTCAGCAGCGTGTGGGAAAGTGGTTTTCTCCAGAAGTCGATGATCATCTCCTTGGTCTTACTGGTGTTCAAGCACAAGTGGTTGAGCTCACACCAGTCGACAAAGTCCGATATTCCAGTTCGTTCCCCTCAGACACACAGCCCACGATGGCGGAGTCGTCGGAGAACTTCTGCAGGTGACAGCTGTGTGTTGTGTGTGAAGTCTGAAGTGTAAATGGTGAAGAGAAACGGTGAGAGGACAGTGCCCTGAGGGGCCCCAGTGCTGCAGACTACCACCTCAGACTCACAGCTGCGCAGCCGCACGTACTGTGGTCGGTCTGAGAGGTAGTTGATGGTCCATGCAGTGAGGCTACTGTCCACTCGTCTAACCTCCAGTCCTCCATCTTCCCCCGCAGCAGTGCCGGCCTGATGGTATTGAAAGCGCTGGAGAAGTCGAAAAACATGACCCTCACAGCGCTCCCGGCGGGCTCCAGGTGGGAGAGCGTCCGCTGCAGGAAGTAGATGACGGCGTCCTCTACTCCGATGTTGGGTCTGTAGGCGAACTGCAGCGGGTCCAGGGTGGGGCTGACCACGGAGCGGAGATGGGTGAGGATGAGCCGCTCCATGGTCTTCATCAGGTGGGAGGTCAGTGCGAGGTCTGTATTGAGCCTGTTCCTTGGCGTGTGCTGTTTTAGGAACCGGGATCACACCGGAGGTCTTCCACAGGACAGGGACCTTCTCCAGGCTGAGGCTCAGGTTGTACATGTAGCTGAGGACCCCAGAGAGTTGGTCTGCACAGGTCCTCAGCAGCCTGGGACTGATCCTGTCCGGTCCTGCGGATTTCCTCAGCTTCAGACGCTGGAGCTGACTCCTCACCTGGTCCGGTGTGATGGAGAGGGGGGGGACCGGGGTGTACTCCTCCCTGTCCCCTGAGATGAAAGCCCTTTTCTTAAGGTTCAGGAGGGCTTTAAGCTCAGGGGTCACCCATGGGTGGTTGTTAGAAAAACACCGCACCTTCTTAGTTGGTACAGTGTTATCCACACAGAAGAGAATATAGTCTGTAATGCAGTGTGTCAGGCTCTCGATGTCCTCACCATGAGAGCTGCAGATCATTTCCCAATCAGTGTTGTGAAAACAATCTCTCAGCATTTCATCCACATCATCGCTCCACACTTTTACAATCCTCTTCTGCGCTGGATTTCTTCTCACCACTGGTGTGTATTCCGGAGCAAAAAAAAAAGCAAGAAAAATAATTTTTTTAAAGCACTAAACAACAACTGTTAATCAGAGCTACTATGGACTTGCAGCCGTTACCCAGCGCATCTTTCAAAAAAAAAAAAGAGATGATGCGTGTGGATGTTGCGTATCAATGGAGGGGGGGAAAGTGTGTGTGTGACTGTGCGTGCATAGTGGCGCGTGCGGCGTGAGAGTCGACCCGGAGTTTACTGATACATTGGCGCATACAGCTAGATGCGGACCTGCTCGTCACAATGTGCGAATAGGGCTTAAAATAGCGTTATGAAGAGACCTCCCCTCTCCCCTTTTTCTCTTTTTTAACCGACAGCTTTGACCGGTTAACGCTGTGACGGTCAACCACCGGTTAAACGGTCATCAATTTACATCCCTAGTTCAGCGTATTCATTACATATCAATATCCATAATACCATCCACAATACTAATATTCATCACTATTTTATAATGGTCCTCACCAGGCGGTTCTCTTCTTTGCCAAGGACGAGCTCGTGATGAGACAGCAGGTTTCCAAAGTGCTGCGCGACTGAGAGTCCGCTCAGACAGTAACACGTGTGGTAGAAGTCTCTGGCTCTATACAGAACAAATTAACAACCCAAATTTATCACCTTTGTTACTTAGACCCGACAGAAAAATGTTTTTCAAGTCACATTTTGTGAACAAATTAGACCTTATTAGTGCTGACTTCGTATAAAAATAATTTGTATCTTTTGCATCTGTCTGCGTCACAATTTGACTCGAATAGTGATTAGCTGCGTGCGTATGGTCTTTTATGTCTAAAAATTGTATAAATGCCAAGTTATTTCATCTTTATTGTAATTGCAAAATCTATTAGTGTGAGGGGCAATGTGACGCCTTCGAAAACCTGTATTTTAGACAATATTGGGCACAAAAGGCCCTGGTTGCAGTGAAGGGGAGTGCTTTGGTACTGACTTGCCGGGTTTGTCCACCAGGCCTCCAGCCGGGTTTTGGCAACACAGCAGGATGTACTCCTGCAGGGCCTGCTGCTCAAACATCCACCTCTGCTCATTCAGGGCACGTTCTCCTGGAACACAAGGACACCAGGGTTAGAACCCAACCCTTTCTTTGTCGTCTTCCATTGTGAACAATGTACAGTCTATGTCGACAAAAAGATTTTACAAACACAGCAAAGAGAGTAAAAGAGCGGCAAAAGATTGGCGCTGTGTAGTGCTTTGCACGTAGGATCTGAGCAAAACACAAATAATTTGTGCAAAACGTGAGCTTTGTAAACGAGGCAAACTGCAAGCCTCGTGGCAGCAGAAATAACTTTAATATTTTTCATACTCAAATTACTCAAGGAATTGTTTAAGCTCTAGACTCCAGGACTGTTAATGACCTCACCAGGGCTGTAAGTGACCTTACTAGGGCTGTAAGTGGCTTTATACAGTAGGAATAATTCAATTAATTTCAATTCAATGTATTCTTGTATAGTCCTAAATAAATAAATAATAAATGTCCATAAATGTTGTTGAATGTTAAGTGTCCTGGATCATCACCACTGTCCTTATGTTAGACCCTTCTGCATCGGCAAGGAAAAACTCTAAAACCCAGTGTGAAAAGGTAAGAAACCTTGGGGAGGCCCACATTGAGAGAGGGATCCGCTCCCACGAACAGACAGGCTATAGAGCTAGGACTCAAGACTACAGCATGAAGACCAAGGCCATGCGGTGCAGGACTCAGGCTGCAGAACGAGGAGGGTTAGGGTCAGAGTCAGATGTGTCAGGGTCAGGAGTACCTTGTTTGTAGTAGGCTCGGTGCAGCAGTGGCAGGAGTCCCGCTTGCCAGAAGGAATAACAACCGTCCACCAGTTTGTTACAACGACCCTGAAATCCCCCCTCAAACTTCATTTGTCTGCTAACCACCCAGCGCTGAGTGAGAGAGAGAGAGTTAGGTAATTTGTGAAAGAAAATATCCTGTTGGTGTTTATCTCTGTGTGTATCTGTCAGTCTCTGTGTTTGGTGTTGAGGTCCAGCATGCGTTCAATGTCCAGAATGTGTGTCTGACTATGTTTGTATTACCAGCAGAGCATGTGTTCTTTGTCCATCGAGGGTGTGTGTATGTGTGTTACCAGCAGAGCATTGAGGTCCAGCATGTGTTCTTTGTCCAGAATAACCAGGGCCGCTGTGCCGCAGAACGTGTACCCCCCGTGGGCCTCGAGGCCTGGGACCCCACCGAGCCCCCCCTCCCAGCTCTGGCACCTGAATAACAACCACAGGTGTTGGGGTTAATCTTGAACACGCACATTTGTTTGCAACAACAAGGTGAAGGTAGGGTCTGCATTTGACCCATCCCGATGACACTCAAGCCTCTGCCAGGAGCAAAGCCCATCTCCAGATGTTGGTTCTCGACCTTATCAGAGCCAGAGGTTTTTTACCTATTTGTTATTGAAATGTTGTTTTTAAATGATCTTTTTAATGAATTTTGAGTATATGATGCAGAGATGCACACAAGTCTCTGACCCGCAAGTCCAAGTCAAGTCCAAGTCCCTAGCCCAAGAGTCCAAGTCAAGTCCAAGTCTCTGGAACCGCAAGTCCAAGTCCCTAAACCCGCAAGTCCAAGTCTCATTTCCTACGCATTAAAATTATGGCCAATATGTGAATTCATCATATTGTTTATTAGAGCGCATTGTTCCAGCCTTAAACATTTCAGGCTGCAGGTCATACTAGGGCTGGACTGGGAACAAAACACAGCCCTGGGATTTTTGCCTCCTCAACGGCCTGGCCCGGTTTGTTGTCACAACGGTTATTTATACGTTATGCAGAAGCACATACTGTAGAGTATGTATGCAGCTTCAACGATACTAAATAAAGTGCACTAGTCTACGTTACAAGAGAGTAACAAACATGTCACTACAGTGAGGGCACAGTACCAAAACTATTGTTTGTTACAGGGATGAGAATGTGACATGTATTTCAGACAAAAAAAGTCTGAAATACATACTGTCAGCCAATGGCTGTCATTAAATCTGTTTGTTCACAGCATTTTACTATTGGCACAACCAACATGACCTGTTATTGCAAGGGTAAATGTACGTACCCCAGCTTTAATTTAATTTAGACATGGGAGAGACATGGGCATTTCAGGAGGCTCCATCATCCAGCTCTATTTTTTGCAGAGGTGCATTAAGACACACACACAACAAGCAGGTCCTGGGAACATTATGACCACGTTAGGCTGCGTGCTTGCCGCGTTGTCAGAGCGGATCACAGCTCAGACACAACTGATGCAGCTAATGCGTGCATTCCCGCAGTCAAGACCCGCAATCGCGGCCAAAGAGCGCGCACAGCCAAAAAGCGTGCACAGCCATAGAGCGAGCACAGCCAAAGAGCGCGCACAGTCAGAGCGAGCACAGCCATAGAGTGCGCACAGCCAAAGAGCGAGCACAGCCAAAGAGCGCGCACAGTCAGAGCGAGCACAGCCATAGAGTGCGCACAGCCAAAGAGCGAGCACAGCCATAGAGCACGCACCCATACCAGCCTGTGAAATGGATGGATCTGGAGCATCAGGAGTTGCAATGTTCACAAATCCAAAAACAACAAGTCCGAGTCTTTAGGGGATGAGTCCGAGTCAAGTCCCAAGTCTTTAGAGGACGAGTCCGAGTCGAGTTGCAAGTCTCTAAAAATAGCGACTTAAGTCGGAATTGAGTCCCCATCCCTAATATGATGTTTTAAATCCATGTCATGACATGGCCGGTAACTGTATATTGCATGCAGATGTGGGCCATTGTCTCCTTGCTTCTTGTGTCCTGTATGCATACGTTTGACTGTGTGTTTCATTGAATAAAGTAGGTTGCTTTGTGGAGAAGAGATTGGAGCTGTGTGAGCACGGTGGCCTTCTCTGTCTCCTCCATGGAAGTCTAACCATGTAAAATAGAATGACAACTTCGGCCTAATCTTTGTGCTTTTGTCCAGATGACCTGCAGTTGAACTAGTTTTATCACTATTGTACATGTTTTTTAGTGGTAAGGGAAACAGGAGCACCCGGAGGAAACCTGCGCAGACATGGGAACATGAAAACTCCACTCAGAAAGACCCTGCTCCGACCAGGATTCGAATCCTAGACCATCTTGCTGAGAAGTGGTAGTGCTAACCAATGAGCCACCATGCCACCCCTGTACCCGAGTACTCTGTACCTGAGTATCCAGCTCGGGGTATTTTCAAACAGCTTTGGCGTCATGATGTTTGTGAGCGAAGCTACGGCCGTTGCGCAGTACGCACTCCTGTAAAACACACAAATGTTCAGAAGGCGTTTTTCCTCTATAGAAACGGCAGTGTGTGTGCACGCACGGACACGTATATATATATACATACATACAAATATACGACTCAGATGGAGTCTCACCCGCCACTGTGCAGACGAGCTGTCTTCACTGACATCTTTAACACATCGCTGGAGTCTTGCTACGTCCCCACCTGCTCCAAATCCTCAGTCATTGTTACCGTCCCCAAGAAGACCCGGATCACTGGACTTAAAAACTACAGACCCGTGGCGCTAACATCTGTAGTTATGAAGTCATTTGAGAGCCTGGTCCTCCCCCACCTCAAGTCCTTCACCTCCTCCCTCCTGGACCCCCTGCAGTTCGCCTACAGAGCCAACAGATCTGTAGATGACGCCATAAACCTGGTCCTCCATCCCATCCTACAGCACCTGGACTCCCCGGGATCATACGTGGACTTCAGCTCTGCCTTTAACACCATCCCCACTCATAATTTCCCAATGACAGCCCAGATTAGACGAGAATGGTCAGAATAATGCCCAATCAAAAAGATTCTGCATGTTTTCCGCATGGAGTGTGTCTATCAAAACTGTGTGAAATTTATTTGCTCTCTGCTGCCCAGTCATTGGGCTTTGTTGATATGCATTTGTAAGCCATAACATTGTATACGGACGTTTTAAACAGATATTTGTTATTCAGTGATGGACAATACAAGTCAGGGGCTTTTATTTATGAGCCCTTGCGTACTTGTTATGACAGCAATTCTGATTTTGAGGACTCGACCCGACGTAGAATATAGGTCACTGGTGGGTGCAGAATGAATGTTTTCTCGACGTCGTTTCCCGACGTCATCCGGACGTGTTTTCCCGACGTCACCTCGACCTCCAAATGTGACGTTGATGGCACGTCAATTCAAGGTTTGAATGTGAATGACCAAAATATTGACGTTTATGTGACGTTCGTTTTCAGTCGTTCCCACTAAGCAAGCAGATGTCAAAACAACGTCATTTCAACGTCATCTGGACGTTCATTCAAGGTTGCAATGTGGTACAGAACCGGTCGGGTCCGACGTCCTATCGACTTCTTATATGACCAGAATATTGACGTTTATATGACGTCCATTTACAGTCCTATTGACCCACTTAAAGAGCGACTAAACGCCAAATCAACTTTTTTCAACTCATAAACTCCATAAATATGTTTATTGTAGTGCTCTCTACATATCCTGGTCATTTTTTTGACATTTTAGTTCAAATTAGATAAAATATCACTTTTGAGCCAAAAAACGTCTGTGTGGCGCCCTCTCAAACTTTTTGGTGGTACTACATTTTAATTTGGTCCTGGCCTCTCCATTGACTCTGAAGTTCTCTATGACATCAGTTGTTTTGTGTGACGTCAGTCTGTCAGAGCCAGTGATGTGAACCCATTCAACTCTCACACACGCCCCAGCTGCAGTTTGGAGTATTCTGGCGCCATCTAGTGGATTAAAATTAAATTACATGAGTGATTCTGAGATTATTGAGTGTGATTAGGTTCAGGTGTGTAGCTTTACAATTATCTTAGTGTGTTATCAAGGGTGGAATGAGACTTTCTGGTCTGTAAACTATTGCTTTAAGCAGGAATGACAACTGTCTGTTTTTTTGTGTGTGACAAGTGAGCTGTCAATCACAGCCCAGACCACGCCCAACTCTAAGCCCCCCTTCTTGTCCCTTGGTCCTCCAGGCAACGCCCTTTTAAGAGAACATTTTCAAATCTTCATGTGGGCGGAGTAAGGCTGGGCACAGGTGTTTAGTCGCTCTTTAAAGAGCGACTAAACACTGTCATAAACACTGTCATTGCAACTGTCATTGCTGCTTAAAGCAATAGTTTACAGACCAGAAAGTCTCATTCCACCCTTGATAACACACTAAGATAATTGTAAAGCTACACACCTGAACCTAATCACACTCAATAATCTCAGAATCACTCATGTAATTTAATTTTAATCCACTAGATGGCGCCAGAATACTCCAAACTGCAGCTGGGGCGTGTGAGAGAGTTGAATGGGTTCACATCACTGGCTCTGACAGACTGACGTCACACAAAACAACTGATGTCATAGAGAACTTCAGAGTCAATGGAGAGGCCAGGACCAAATTAAAATGTAGTACCACCAAAAAGGTTGAGAGGGCGCCACACAGACGTTTTTTGGCTCAAAAGTGATATTTTATCTAATTTGAACTAAAATGTCAAAAAAATGACCAGGATATGTAGAGAGCACTACAATAAACATATTTATGGAGTTTATGAGTTGAAAAAAGTTGATTTGGCGTTTAGTCGCTCTTTAACTTCTGCAGAATCACTTACTAGTCGAGACATACTTGCAATAGGCAAGGCAAGTTTATTTGTATAGCGCAGTTCAAACAAAAGGAAAATCAAAGCACTGAACAAAAGATAGAAACAATCAAACATGGCATTAAAATTATAAATAATCACAGTAAAAATTAAAAAGACACAAATAAAATCTCTCAGTTGTAGCAGAAACAGAATTGTTTTTAACCTGGATGAACCTCTGACATTGTCAAAGAAGAAGCCTTTCTCATATTTCCAGGAAGACCGTTCCAGATTTTAGCCTTGTGAATCTGAACTGCAGCTTCATCATGTTTAGTTTTGACTCTGGGCGATAAACGATAAACACAGCATTCAAAAAGCATTAGAACAATTGTAGAAGGATATCAGCCATTCTTGCAAATTCATGGAGCTGCATTAAAAATCTTGTTTCCCTACATCAAAGTACTGGTTTAATTACCGTATTAAACCAGGCACAGTGTTATGAACACTACTGTACTGAACAGTTAATGCCAAAGAGTAAAAAAACATGATTGTAGCGCCTATGTTTGGATCAGTATTAAAACAGGCACAAGCTACACTCTAGGTTCCCGAGATGTAAAAACACAATCTGAAAAGGCATAAGAATGCATTTATTGAATGTTGATGTTAGAGGTGTTCCAACATCCTCTCTTGGTCTTCAGTCTCTCTTTACAAGGTCCAAGCAAAGCACCTGAAAATGTGGAACATGTTTAGTTTCAACATAATGTGGCAAAGTGATATGACATCTTAGAACTTTCTATTAATGCCTCAAACCACCAGCCCTGAAAGCTACTTACCCACTTACCCTGTATTACTCTATACACGTTGCATTTCCGAGGAGGCATTTTCCCCTTGTTGCTCTTTTCCTTCATCTTGAGTGAGTTGCTGAACAATCTGAGAAAAAGATAGATGTTTTCAAAGAGAATACACCAAATAATGGTTTATTCTAAAAACAACATAATACAGAACAATCAATGTGTGAGAGTGATTCTTACCTTTGAACACCTTCAACACAGTCTGACACCTGTAAGACTCAAACACATATGACACATTAGGAATACACACAGAAAATTAGTTATTGCAAGAATTATGAAATCATACTCATGGATTTCACAATAATTGACTACATTAGCAAAGGTAAATGTATTTTAACATATGGCTGGTTTTAAAGGTTATATAAAAAGTAAGAAATTGAATAGAGTTGCAAGCGCTAGTTATCTTGCTACCAGCAGATGAATGGATATTTAATATTTGCCAGCTAACAATAACAAAAATAACTGTAGTGACTCATTTAAACAGCCACAGTGAGACGTAGTGAAAGTCTCTGACATTGAAGACCTGGGAAGCCATTCAGTCCATTTATTAAACAAAGAAATAAATGAACATTACAATCTCTTTCTGCAGCAGGTAGAACATCTGTGTGCTCCTATGGTCCCACAGTCTCTGGTGCCACACCTGAACTCAACTCCAACTGATGACATCACAGGTGTCTAAACAATGGGAGTGTCCCAAATATTAAAGCTGATCTCCATGTTTTTAAACTTAGATTTGTGCTGTTGTCTTTTGCAGTTTATAAACCATTGTGAAATATACAGTAACTTTACATTTTAGAATTGAATTATTATTTTAAACTCAAGAATCTTAACCTTTTTTAACACAGTTTGTTGGACATTCTAATCTAACAATTCTAATGTGTTAAAAATATGAAAAACAATATCATATTTTAAACTTTAATTTAAACACTTTTTAACAAAAAGCTTTTTTAACTGTTTTTGGCTCTCACAACCCAATTGAGCACATGGGGTTCTAGCTCTAAAAAGCGTTGTCTAGTTGGCAAAGCTGTCTCCCTTTCAGCTGACCAGTGCCAGCTGTTATTATAGATCCATGATGTCAACAACGGCAATTCAAAATACGGATAATATACAAAATATACTTAACAAATTCCACGTATACGTGAGAAAACAACTTACTTTCTGTCTCCAACTCTTTTCGATGTGGAAATGATATACATCTATATATAAAAACTGTGCAGACTGTGTACTTACTAGAGAGGGTGATTCGAAGTAAAAGCAGGTGCAGAGAAAGAATGGACTGAGCGATCAGAAATTGACTCAAAGATGGAGTCTATGGGAGGTCATTATTGTACGTCCAGAAGTGGAACCTACATTTACGTTGTATAGACGTGAAAAAATGGTCCTCGTCTCGACCGACGCGTCTGAAACGTTATCTACAAGTGAGCTTCGGATGTTCATTGGTTCTTTTAAGAATATATCACAGTAATTGATATCGAGAGTGGTGTAGGGGATAAGTAATGGACTTGTAAATATAGCAATGGTAGTTCAAAACCCTGGAGGTTGTTAGTGGCTTTTTTTTTAATCTATTTGGTTAAAAACAAATCAACACTCAACATAGGATCATGTAGCTTCTAAGAATAAAACGTGTGAATTTATGTATGTCAGTGATGCTAACTATCTCAAGTCTCCATTTGAGAAAGTAAATAAAGCAGGGCAGGGACGGAGGTACAGATTAAACGTCATAGCAACGTCTGGGAGGGCATTGTTTTACGTCCAGATGCACACACAGACGTCGTTTAGATGTGGAAAACAGGTCCTCGACCGACTCACGTGTCAGGCTGTAATCTCGCATAAGTGTGC